AAAAAAAGACAATTTATTACAAAAGTTATAGTAACACTGGATTATATGAAAAGATATCAGTGACACATAGGTAGCATTGTATGTATAAAGACAGTAGCTTTGATTCCAAAAGTCCCTTCCTTCGTCTATAAGTTCATATAGTATTTAATATATATTTCCCAAGTTATCATCTTCTTTGCCAAAGGCTTTAACACACTTCCGATAAGGCTATGCAAAAAATAATAGCGTTGTTACAAAATTCATAAAGAATTGTTATCTTTTTATATAAGTACTTGACTCAAAATTGAAAAACCGTATGTACTTTTGTAAATCTGCACATAGAGCATTCCATCAATAACCATGCCTATTTGCATCTCATATAACAAGCATACCCATTACAGTTTCCCCATCAGACAAAGAACAAAGAGGTTGTCTTGCACTATAAGAAAACCCAATTTGAGAAAGAAAGAAAGAAAAAAAAAGGTGGTTTCACATCTCCATGAAATAAATAACACTAGAACTGCATATTTTCAATGTTATAATAAATTTTTTAACATCCTTTTCAACATAAAGGAATAATTTGGCACACTTCAATATCATAACAGTAATGGAAATGACTTGTGGATCTCTTTCAGTAATACAACCCTGTCTTCTGTCAACCACACTTAATAATTGTCTAGAAATCCATAAAAATGCTTTAGACTTCAGATATCTTAACAGCTTCCAGCACAAATAAACCTGCAAGTGACACTTCACAACAGCAAATTGCAAAAGATAACAAAAATGTAAATATTTTCATAATGTCTATTTACAGATACAAACCTTCTTTAACCTGCCATTCCTTTCAATAAATTCATGACAGCACAATACATCTGACTCACATAAAAATGGATATCACTAAAGGCCATGTTAACAATAGCCAACAAGTCTGGATGGTGGCCCTTCACACATCTGTCCCTAGCCAAGCAAAGCTACACCTTCCAGTCAGACTTCCACTCTGAGTTGACCCATGGTCAATGCCTCCTGGTCAACCTACATCTCCCCCTTGAGCAAGTCCTGTGAATTCATCCACTTTGCTACAGCCAGATGAATCTGACACTCCAACAGGTGGAAACAGGCATAAAAAAGGGAAAACATCCTCAACACCAGAGGTGTCGCCCAGGGAGTCAGCGGTCTCACAATCAACTTCCTTGAAGTGCAATAAACCCAAGAGCCAAAATAAGCCCCTTTCACATACCCAACCTAGAACCACCCTCTGTTTTGCTGACAGGCCAAATAGCATATTAGCTATAAAGAACATAGAAAAAATAGTGAGGATTTAAAAAAAGTGGAAAGTGAATCACTGCAAATAATTGATAGAAAATATAAGAAAGACTCAAGATAAGATGATATGGAGCAAGGAAGATAAACTAAAATAGTAGTTAACTGTCAAGCTCAATCTGATATCTGACTTTTTTGACTCTGACAAGTTTATTGAGACAAAAGCTTACATCCAGAATTTGCTTGACAGTGACATGAAAGTGAAATCTAATATAGAAACTCATATTTTGCTGATGATCGTAATATCAGAAAGAAAATGAGAAGCAAAATGGAATTACCATACAAAAGCATTTTTTACAATAAGTTTTGGTTTTATATATAGAAGATGAAAATGTGTCTCACACAGTCCCAAAAATAAATAACTTTTCACACATCATTTAAAAAGTACACAAAACAGGTTATGGACACATTTCAAAAAATATACAGTAGCTAAAAAATATATATCTATAAATCTGAACACAAATAAGAATAAAACAAGACATTGCAAAAAAAGAAATAAGTTCAACCAGCTGATATTCCAGTCTCAGAAAGGTACTGTTATGAGATTCAATTAATCCTGACCACAGAATTTATCATTATTAATTTCTACTGCTATTACTACTAATAATAAAAACAATAATAAAAATACTAATGATAAATTGTAATTCACCATCCAACAAACAAATAAAGAAAAAAAAATCAAATAGACTGAAACAATGACTTCATTTTACATCTTTCCATTTTCTACCAACAAGTTGGTTGCTTTGTTTTAAACAAAAGCATGGCTGAAGCTGCACCGTTGTTTCCAAAGAAAGCTTCCAAGTATTCATCTACATTACAAAATAATAACAGTAAAACACTGACTTTGAAAAACTTCAATAATATTCAACAGAGTGGAAAATAAATGCTAAAGGAATTAACTTACTGAGGCACTCACACATTCACAGATCTATTCACATTAGTTGTCAGAACAAATATGCACCTTCCCTCCCAGACCTATGGCCCAGAAGGACAGGTTCTCCTTAAAGAATACCTTTCATTTTCTTTAGACATTCTGTATCAAAATTCTTACACTATAAAGAACACAACTTATCATTACTTTATCACTGCATTCTTACATCATGGTTTCCCATTTTTCTGGGTTTTTTCTTTTTTCTTTTGAATCCTTTGCTAATTTGTGTTTTATATTAATAAGGAAAAACCTATCCCACAAATCTCTTCACAGCATCTAAATACACAACAGAAAAGTAAAAAAAAAAAATAATAATAATAATATAAAATAAGTATATAAATAAAATAATGCAGCTCCTTCTCCTTTACAAAACACTATTTCCTAATTTTGGTAAACGTTACCCTCCTTCACACATACCCACTTCGCACTTTTATCACAACACCCTAAGTAACCTACGTACATCCAGCAACACTACAAAAATAACTTAGGTAGAACAACAAGCTTCCATTATGAGTGTTTATGCAATGCACTCTCGAAATGCCATATCCTAGTTAAAGCTGGTGCCGAAATTAATGACTGCGTGTGAACTACCAATCACGAGCATAATCTGTATAAAAACTACAAACCTAAGACATATTTGCGTGAGATGATGGTACACTTTGATGATGCCAATTAACAAGTGCACAAGTTTTCCTGGTTCTGCACCTTGAATGAGTCTGTGGAGGACGGAGGTCTTCGAAAAAGGAAAAGAATACAAGAAAGGAAAAGCAAAAAGGCAAAGGAGATAAAACAGAACAAGGGCAATGCAAATCCCCACTGGCTTCTAATCATCTCCATGTTTTCCGAAGAGTGAATGACGTTAGAAGGAAAAAGGTACCTATTATAAGGTATCTAAAGGTACTTCCATACTCACTTAAGCTACACTTAAACAGAGGAAAGTCTTTAATCAGACAGTCCACCTGTAGTTCTCTGAGGCATTTTTAGTTTCATATATCTTTGATGCCATCTAATGAGTTCCTTATTAACATATCCCAATGAAAATGAAATGAAAATAGGTATACACACATGGGAGGCATTCATAATTATAGGCATACACATTACTTATGCATTATCATAGATATAAGTCCATTTACTTTTCTTACTACAAAATGTTCTAATTTTACATATACTTCCAATATAGTCTAATACAATCTAATATTTCCACATGTTAAAACAGCACAAACAATAGTAAAATCATAAATAAAGGTAAAGGAAATGAACTTTAAAATTCTTCGTGCAAACACAGTATGACATAATAGGCACATTACCAATAGGCAGGTCTTGCCCTTGCATCCATTTCAACACCAAAATATAAAAAAAGTACCTTTTCTTCTTTCACTTTGATATCAGGAATCTGCAGTACCTCAGGCTATGTATACTTGTATAGGGGGTATACAGATGAACAGATAGATTAAAGCTCAGTATTGTAATGTGACTAGAGAACAGATAATTTACAAAGCTCATAAACTCAGCACTCATGGCCTCAACCCAGTTTCCTGTCTTTTCCAAGGAACTAACCCTAAAATAACTGCAAATTCTGGTATGTTATATCACATATAAACTACTGCATATATTGAGGAAGAGTAACTGTACAAACTGTAGCAGTTGTACTATTCAAATTTAATCCACAATATACTTAAAAGCACATTTACAACTCAATAAATTGTATGTATATATATATTCTTTATGCTTATCCTAATGCATGAAACAGGAACCAAGAAGGGGGATGGGAGCAAGGGATATTGAAGTAAAGTGTAATGCCTAGAAATGAGACCACATGATATATTTACAAATGGTAAGAGGACCATCCACTTGTGGAGATTTGTGAGCCTTCGAGAAGGTACTGCTGCACTCCCGCATCCTCTACAGTTCGCACGGGAAACTCCATCTGCAAGAAGTGCATTGTGTGAGCAAGAGGATGAATTTGATCATGTGGGACATTCAAGATTAATTCCTTTCCTCACTTGCAGAGACACAAAACACAATATAAATACCTCAAACATGCTGCTCCAAGTTCGAGACAAGGTAGTGATGAACTCATGCAACTGACTGCCAGTCCGGAAGTAGAGAGCCCAGTCACCAGAGATTTCTCCAGCTTCACTGCACTCAAATTCCTGAAAGAAAGGCCCAATGACAATTTCTTCTGACTACCACTCATTCTCTAACTACATCAAGTAAACTACAAAAATCAATGAGATTCTCTGTTTTCATTCTTATTTCTTTATTTTCATGTCAGATTAATCCAACTACCCAAACAACACACAGTGGCTAAGCCTATCCCCCCCCCTCCACATACACACAAACCTACCATCAGACATGTGTTTGGACACTCTGCATACAGGAACAGTGAAGACAGGTGTTCCAGGGCACTGTAGGTGAGGACCTTGACTTCTCCCTTGGCCTGAATTCCCTGAGTAATCTCGTCCAACATTCTTCTTGGTGCAGAGTTGCTCCTCACCAACACTTCCTTGTTCTTCTTAACATGGGGCGATGGATCCTTTTCATCTCTCACGCTTGAAGAGCTTGCTTGGACATCCTGAGATCCGTAGTCTGTCAGTCTCGTCAGGCTTCCTTGGTGCTGGAGCTTCTTTGGGGTTGAGGTTTTGTTGGTGCTGTTTGCACGCTTTAGGGGACTACCAGGCATTGAGGGGTGCTGTTGGTGCGATTGAGGGCCGTGAGCGAGGAACTTAGATGCTTGCGTTCCTTGAGGTTGGACAGGGCCAGATTCAAG